TTAATTCCCAGGCCATGTTCTGTGTGTCTTGAGACCATGTCTTATTCTGTAGCCCACACTGACCCTAACCCTAAGATCCTCCTGCCGTAGCCTCCTAAAGGTTGGGATTATATACTCTACTATTAAACACAACCAAACAGTTCTTGAAATGGACAACTAAATCCTACTGTATATTCATACACTTATAAATCCTTTACAAGGCACTGAAGGCAGAAATAAAAAGGAAGTAGCCAGGTGGCAACATTACTGGGTATTATAGTGTAGTGGTTAGGTACACGATCCTCCTAAGTCTGGGTTCCACCACTGCTGGCTCCACCAAGGTCTTTCGCTGGTGTAGTCTTATTAGCTACCTAGTCTCAACACCCTGATCTTTCAAGGTCAAGAACTTACCTTAATGCTTTATTGAGGGGAGGGGGGAGCTCAACATACAAAAAAGACAAAGGCCTACCTAGAAAAACAGCTTTCCCAGGCCTGCCAGGGAAATTGCCTTGCAACCCAAATTTACTATAAATTCTGTCCAGTAAAATACTTACAAACTGTAGCCTCCTTTTCCAAATGTGATATCAAAATACAAACTGGGGACCTCAGATCACAGCTAAAATAGTTGGCTGCCCAAAGAAGCAGCTTGAAGCCAGATAACAATGGAAGAATGAGACTTGAGTTCAGTCCCTGTGATCCATATCATCCAAGGAGAGAACTAACTTCCATGAGTTGTCCTTGACCTCCACACATGAGCCATGGCATGTTTGCAACCCCCAAAAAATGTTAAAAAAAGGAAGAGTAACTGGAAGAAAATACAAAACACCAAAATACAAGAAAATGGGTATTATACCATGACACTTACTTCAAATTTGTGCAAATATAGTTAATATGCACATATGACCTAACAAAATGTATTTCTTACTGTGGCTCTGGATTTAAAAACAAACAAAACATTAGCCAAGTAGGACAAGCTCCATAATTCCAGCTCTTAGAAGGCAGAGGTAGAAGGGTCAGTGAGTAGCTCAAGGTTAGACTTGGCTACACAGTGAGACTGAGGTTAGCCTGGTCTATATGAGACTCCACCTTAAAAAGCAAATACACAAAAATAAAATTACTGGGCAGTGAACATCTTAGGCCAACCAGGGCTACATAACTGAGACCTTGTCTCATATACATGCACATATGCAGAAAAAAGAGAGTAAGAAAATGAGTGAATATGATCAAAACTTTGTGTAAAATTCTTAAAGAATTAATAAAAAAGTTTAAAAGAAAAAGAAGAGCAAGGTATAATAATGGTGGTATATGCATTTAATCCCAGCACTTGGGAGGCAGAGGCAGGAGGATCCCTGTGAGTTCAAGGACAGCCTGGTCTTCAAATAAGTTCCAGGACAGCCAGGACTAAATAGTAAGACCCTGTCTCAAAAACAAACAACTGACCGACACCAACAACCTAAAACAAAACAGGAGTGTGGGGCTGGAGAGATGGCTCAGTAGTGAAGAGCACTGATTCTTTCTTCCAGAGGGTCCTGGTTTGATTCCCAGCACCCACACAATGGCTCACAACCATCTGTAACTCCAGTTCCAGGGGATCCAATGCCTCTTCTAACCTCTGCAGGCACCAGACATGCAAGTGGTCCATATTCATACATGTAAGCGAAACACTAAAACACATAAAAATAAATATTTACAGAGACCAGGCAAGAGTGCTGGCTCAGCAGTTTAGAGAATTTGTTGCTCTAGGACCTGGGTTCAATTCCCAGTACACACGTGGTGGTTCACAACCATCCCTAACTCCAATGCTGGGTACCCAACACCCTCTTCTGACCTCTACAGGTACCAGGCACACACGTGATGCACATACATACATTCAGGCAAAACACACACATAAATCAATCTAAAAAAAAAATAAAGAACCAAGAATATCACTTACTGAGTCATAATCAGTGTGTTATACTGATTTGAAACAGGGTCTCTCTCTGTAGCCCAGGCTGCCCTCAAATTCATGGGCTATTGTCCTTCCTCAGCCTCCTTAGTGCTAGAATTACAAATGCAAGCCACCACACCAAGCATTTCTTTTTAATTAAGGAGTTTAAAAATGAAACACCAGAATGTACCACATACAAGGGTGAGCATTGTTTTGTGAAACTTGTTTCGGTTATTATGGCTCTGTGTGTGTGTGTGTGTGTGTGTGTGTGTGTGTGTGTGTGTGTGTGTGTGTGTGTAAATATACATACACTCACTTGGGCTAAAGATGCAGCTCAATTGGTAGAGAGCTTGTCTCACATGCATGAAGCGCTGGGTTTGATTCCCAGCACTGCATAAACTAAGCATGGTGGTACGTGCCTATAATCCTAGCATTGGAGAGCTAGAGACAGGAGGATTAAGAGTTACCGGGCGGTGGTGGCACATGCCTTTAATCCCAGCACTCGGGAGGCAGAGGCAGGTGGATCTTTGTGAGTTTGAGGCCAGCCTGGTCTACAGAGCGAGATCCAAGAAAGGCGCAAAGCTACACAGGAGGCCCGGGATACATAAGCCCCTATTTCAAAAGCACACACACACAAGGCCGCTGAGCTTCGTCAGGGGGAAAGGCACCTGTTATGCAGGTCTGATGACCCGAGCTTGACTGCTGGAACTGAAAGTGGGAGGCCAGAGCTGACTCTCAAAGTTGTTCTCTGACCTCTGCACGTGTACTGTAGCATACGTATGTCCAACCTCACACACACACACCACACACAGTACAATAATGAATTAAATTGTAAAAAATGTAAAAGCCACTATACTGTGGTGGTTTGAAAGAAAATGGCCCCCAAACAGAACAGCACGAATGGGAGGTGTGGCCTTGTTGGAGAAAGTGTGTCCTTGTGGGGGTGGGCTCTGAGGTCTCCTATGCTCATGCCACACCTAGTCAGACGGACCGCTTCCTGTTGCCTGTGAGTTGAGATGTAAGAACTCTCAGCTCCTTCTCTAGCACCAGGCCTGCCTGCATGCTGCCTTGCTCCCCACCATGACAATAGTGGACTGATCCTCTGAACTCTAAGTGAGCCACCTCAATGAAATGTCTTCCTTTGAAAGAGCTTCCGTGGTCACGGTGTCTCTCACAGCAACAGAAACCCTAAGACATATACCTACTTACTCCTTCAGTCAAGGTTTGTATGTGAAAGGCACTTCTCTCTAAGGGTGGTTGTAAATCCAACAGCGGGCTGAGGAGACGCCTTAGTCGGTAAAGTGAGTTCAGATCTCTAATACTCGCTCGCACACCTGTAATCCACCCTTGTGCTGAAGAGGCTGAGACAGGTCTCGGGACTCGCTGGCCAGCCAGTCTAACCAATTGATGAGCTTCAGGTTCAGTGAGAGACCCTGTCTCAAAAAACAAAACAGAGATTGGAGAAGACACACCTGATGTCACCCTCTGGCCTCCACACACACCTACATGTGCACACATCTACATGTGCATACATAGACACAGACACACAAGGATTGGGAATATAACTCAGTTGTAAAGTGTATGGCCTATCACTTATAGGGTTCTGTGTCCCATCACAAACACACATACACACACACCCCAAAACAGCCCTTCAAATTCTCAAGTTGGTGATGCAGCTCCATTTGCAGTATCCCTGTCTAACATATACAAGGCTCAAGACTGGATTCCTTTCCCACATAAGCCTGCAATGGTGGCGCACACCTGTAATGCCAGCACTCAAGAGGTGAAGGCAGGAATATCAGTACTTCAAAGTTATCCCTGGCTACATAAGGAGTTCAAAACCAGTCTAGACTAGATGACAACCTGTCTCAAAAAACAAACAAAAAACCCTTTCCAGCAGTGACGACCTCCCTACGAGAACATGCCTCTCGCAAAGGATCTCCTTCATCCCTCTCCAGAAGAGGAAAAGAGGAAACACAAGAAAAAGCACCTGGTGCAGAGCCCCAATTCCTACTTTATGGATGTGAAATGCCCAGGATGCTATAAGATCACCACAGTCTTTAGCCATGCACAAACGGTAGTCTTGTGTGTTGGCTGCTCCACTGCCTCTGTCAGCCCACAGGCGGAAAAGCAAGGCTGACAGAAGGATGCTCCTTCAGGAAGATGCTCCTTCAGGAAGATGCTCCTTCAGGAAGATGCTCCTTCAGGAGGAAGCAGCACTGAAGAGCACCTGATTCAAGATGAGTGGGAACCATCCCAATAAACACACTTTGGATATATATATAAATAAAAGGCTTGAAAGCAGCTGGGCGGTGGTGGCCCACGCCTTTAATCCCAGCACTTGGGAGGCAGAGGCAGGCAGATCTCTGTGAGTTCGAGGCCAGACTGGGCTACAAAATGAGTTCCAGGAAAGGCACAAAGCTACACAGAGAAACCCTGTCTTGAACCACCCTCCACCCTCCCACCCCCCCACCCCCCACCCGGAAAAAAAAAGCTTGAAAGCTACTGTCATAGGTAAGTAATTGAAGGCTTGTAACAAGGGAGATGAAGGACATTAATGAGGTTGGCCATTACTCTCCTAGGTGACAAAAGCAGTTTTGAACCCCTCAGAAGCAATTCGGAGGCCCCTCTTTCTTCAGGTGGAAGGAAAGGCTCTCACAACCTTTCTACTCTACAGGAAGGGCATGAAGACAGCAAAGGTGAGCACTAAGGTACAAACTACTCAGAGATAAAACCTTTAGTTTCAGGTTTTCCTTTGATATATTTTCCCTCTTGATTTTTTGAGGGAGGGATATTATTCAAAAGAGAAACAGGAATGTGGACTATGTCTCATATATTACTTGAGTACACTGGAAAAAAATCTCAAAGCTTCTTTTTAATTAATTAATTAATTTATTATGCATACAGTGTTCCAGCATGCATGCCTACATGCCAGAAGAGGGCACCAGATCTCATCCTAGATGGTTGTGAGCCACCATGTGGTTGCCTGGAATTGAACTCAGGACCTCTGGAACAGCAGCCAGTGCTCTTAACCCCTGAGCCATCTCTCCAGCCCCCTCAAAGCTTCCTTCTAAGAAATTGGTTGGGTTTGCTTATTTTGCTTTTTCTGAGACAGAGTCTTACTCTGTAGCTCAGGCTGGCCTGGAACTCAGTATGTATCCCAGGATGGCCTGGAATATGAGGCAATCCTCCTGCTTTAGCCTGACAATTGCTGGCATCACAGGTGTGAGCAACTATTGCCAGCAAAACTGCTTATCAATTTAAAAATATTTATATGGGGGGAGGTATCACACAACATGCCAAAGCATGTGTGGAGGTCTAAGGTGAAGGACAACTTGAGAAGCCGACACAGGACAATTTACAGAGTTCAAGACCAGACTGGGCTACACAGCGAGTCTGTCTCAAAAAACAAACAAAGTTAGGGATTGATTGGCGATATAGGCTCAGTGTTGAACACTTGCCTCAAATCTATAGGCCTTAGGTTAGACCCCCAGAAACACAGAAACAAATCCCTCCCCATCTAGGAATGCACAGTTTGGAGAGTACTGTGGACATGTAGAAATTAACTAGACTGGACAGTTAAGCTGGGGATATTTTCTTTTCTGTGTGTAAAGCTGAGGTAAGTACACTGGACTGGATTCCTACGGTCTTGGACATGTAAGGACTGAGCATCTACATTCACACTCTGGGTAGGGACAAATCTGTTTCTTCTGCCTTCCTGTGCTCAGGCTTAGGAAGGGAAGAGTCAAGAGGAATTATCTATCTACTAGGTACTGATCTACCCAGGGTTGAGGGATTATCTACTAGGTACTGGTCTACCCAGGACTGAGGGATTTCCTAGAACATGAAACTTTCAATGCTGAAGTGGGGAAAGTCCTGGGTAAATGGGATGAGTCACTATCTCTAAAAGGTAGCTCTCTGTGTGCCCCAGAGCTTGAAGCAACCAAGCTGACTTTTTGTTATTGTTGAGATTCAAAACATGGAGGAGGGGGAAGTATAGAGAGTTACTTTGGAAGAGATTAGGGTGACCATGACACTCTGAGCACTTGAACACCCATTTAGGGCCTACACAGAAGTAGTGACTTACACAATGGAACTTTTGAATTTCACAAGAATGTAATGGAAAGTAATTCTGGAAGATACATATATTTTAAAGAGTAGGTCCACACAGGTTAGCGGGAAGTGGGGTTATCTGTCAAATACTGGAAAAGCATTTAACCTTAAAGTAGGTGGAATACTGTGATGCAGTGAGCAATTTAAGAAATTGGACACTTTAGCTTTTAAAGACACATAGTACTTCTTATAATTTCTTAACTGAGTTACCTGTCCATCCAAGAAAAGGCGTGACTTGCAACAATTTTCAGAGCAAGTTAAAATGAAAGACAGCTCTCCTAACCTTTCCCACACAATGCCCACCAGCACAGAAAGACTCAACACAGGTGTGAGCCTAAAAGATCCCTGCAACTTGATGCTGTATGCAGGCAAGTCAAAGGCTCAGTGTTTGAGGCACTGTATGGGGCACATGTGAACAGTTTTATTTTTGTGGTGCTGGAGACCAAACCCAGCACCTCACACATTCGTGGCAAATACAGTCACTGACTCACATCCTCAGCCCTGTTTTTGCCTTTTGGAAAACATGAGTAGTTTTACCTCTCAGCAGACTGTCAAGATTAACAATTTACTCAATGCTTTAGTAACATTGTCTTAAAACCCTGTGGGATCCTAGTAAGGTGAGGAGGCTAATTCGACTTTGACCTTGTTCCTTTTCTTCAGGGCCTTATTTCACGTGTTTTTAAATTTCTCCTAAATTTTTCAACTTAAATTTATGTCTACTGAACCCTAACTCAACACAATCTCATTCAGATTTCTTCTGTGACCCTAAACCCCAAGATACTATCTTGATTCTGTGTCTGTGGGTTGCCAGACTTACCAAACAAGATAGTAACGGCTATAGAAAGACTCCAAGCTGGGCAGTGGTGGCGCACGCCTTTAATCCCAGCACTTTAATCCCAGCACTCAGGAGGCAGAGGCAGGCGGATCTCTTTGAGTTCGAGGCCAGCCTGGTCTACAGAGTGAGATCCAGGACAGGCACCAAAACTACACAGAGAAACCCTGTCGAAAAACCAAACAACAAGCCAGGAGATGATAGCGGTGCACACCTTTAGTCCTAGCACTCAGCAGACAGGCAGATAGACCTCAGTGAGGTTGAGTTCAAGGCTAGCCTGATCTACAGAGCAAGTTCTAAGGCAACCAGAGCTGTTACACAAAGAAACCCTGTCTCAAAAAAACCAAAAGAAAAAAAAAAAAAGAGTGCTTACTACTCCTACAGAAAACTCAAGTTTGGCTCCCAGCACACACACACACACATACATAATAGTAATTAAAACAAAAATAAAACACTGCCTCAAAAGGTAACTTAAGGCTAACAGATAAAGAAAAAATGCATAAGATTTTGTGGCTCAAGATCATTTTGAAGATGCTTATTTATTCTGAGCAAAATATACAACTACAGCAGCTTGCCACTACCATAGGTTATACACACTCTGTAATAACATAAATAGCTCTGTAACAGAAAAGAGGATACCCACAGCTACTTGATAGATGGCTGTATTATCTACCTACACTCTGGCTTTTATAATTACTTGGTTAGAAGATAGGTTACAGAGAATCCCTATATCAAATACTTAGGACCAGAGGTGTTTCAGATTTCAAGTCTGGGGTATCTGCATGGACTACCACTTGAATATCCCTGATCTGAGATCTGTCAGTGCTCAGCTTCAGATTTTAGAATATTTCTGACTTGGATTTTCTGGTTAAGGATGCTCAACCTACAGGTGGAGGGTGTACACCTATTGTTTTTATGAACATGAATGCCCACGAAGGCCCTTTACAGAGCAGAGGTGAACACCTTCTCATGGAGGTATGCTAGCTTCTCTAAGCGAGTCCGTTTCAGTAGTGGAAGCCATTCCCAGTAGGATAATTCTACCACACGGTACCCAATTCGAGCCAGCTGCCTCCTCTTCATATTGTGCAGTCCAAGCAGATCCCTAGTACCATAGCAATATTGGTTCTTGTTTGTCAACTGGATAGCTAGCTTCACTAGTGGGGGCTGCATGTGGGCTAGAGGGCACAGGCCATCTGTCCCCACATCCTCCAATCTATCTATCACATTGCAAGCAGAGTCCACCAAGGGTACAGCTGTCTTCTTTCTTAACTCCATAGGTGGCTGGCCAGTCTCTACCTCAATTTCGCCCTGGAAATACCTTTTGGCTTTTCCCTTTAGCAACTGATTCATCAAGTCATCTGTAAGGCTGACTCCCGCCTGCTTAAATGGCAATCGGGCTACATCTTCCGTTGGCGTCACTTCGCTGTTAAAAGGTAGTGGCTTCATGTTAGCATCAAGCTGAACCTCCAAGTCAGAAGATCGGGTGTGAGGCAAAATCATATGGTGCTTGATGTACTGGGGGCCACCTAACATGGTCTCAAGTAAATAGAGAGCTTCTAGGAACTCGGGCTTTGATCTCATATCCTTGCTTGCTAAATTCCACAGTGTTACAGATGCCTCTTGCTGAAGGTGAGAATTAAGACGACTGCCCTCATAATCTGGACACTCAATGGCAACTGTACCATCGAGAGTATACAGTTCCTTAGTGAGTTCAAACTTACTTCTTTCTTGAGCTAACCTGACAAACCCTGGACTCAGAGCAACATTGATAAACTCAGCTGGAAAGTATTCAGAAAATGCCAAGCCAAGCAGGCAGGTCAGAAGGTGCTCTGGGTACTGGTTGAATTCAGGCATCTTCCTGTGAATTTCATTTATCAGACTGGAATAAAATTCTTCTGTGTTGGGTGGCTTATAGTTCAGAGTTCCAAAAGACCACAGAATTTTGGCAACATCTTTACTTCGACAGTGTGTTACTCTTGGAGGCAGAGAGGCAGCTACTGCATTCATTACTCTTTCATCTAGG